TTTACAGAAAGGGGGATTAAGGGGGAGGGGGCGGTGGAGACGTACATCTTCATGCGGGATTTTGAATAAAGTATTTCTTCCTGCTATAAGCCTGTAGGCTGTCAGTAATACTACAATATATTTCCTGTCGTTAGTGGTATAAATTTAATTCCCCGCGCTTGCGCGGGATTTCATCTAGTATAAGATCTTTTTAAAGCTAATTCTGGTAGAAAATAAACAACTCAAGTTTAATTTTCTATATACAAAATAAATATGAAAACCAATATCAATAACAGGAAAAAAAAAAGAAACTGATTTATTTTGGTGAAAAATAAATATACCAAATAGTTGTATTTAAATATTCATGTTTTAATAGGTGTGAACATCTTCTTCGTTCAATAATTATTATTTGTTTCTACACGAGTACTGTAATTTTCTTAACAGTTCAGAAATGACTGTAACGTAAGAATTGTAAATAGTTGTTGATACTACTCAGAAAAAAAATGATCATCAATTTCAACAGCCTTTTATAGTTACATTGTTTATTGGTAATCTCATTCTGAGTAAGCTCCACCCATTAAATTAATAAACCCCGCCCACTAGGACTGCTGGGATTGCTTTCTGGGACTGATGGGACTGCTTTCTGGGACCGCTTGGACAGCGTGGGACTGCTATGGGACTGCTCTGGGACCGCTGTGGGACTGCTCTGGGACCGCTGTGGGACTGCTTTAGCAGTCCCAGAAAGCAGTCCCCGGAACTGCTCTGGGACTGCTTTGTATCAGGTTGGGTCTGGTTGGTACTGTATACTGCACTGACCTGTGCAACTGTTGTACGTTTCTTTGGTATCTTTCTCTCCTGCATTAGAATAGGTACATACTTATATTTTGTCGCTACCAAGTGCTGTATAGCATACGTCTTTCTACACCTGTGACGATTGATTACTCTGAACAGTGACCAAGTCTGCGACTTTATATAGGGGCCCTCGGATATAGCGAGAATCCAATCGAATATGGTTCTTGCTACTGAAACTTGTTTCAGTAGCAATACTTAAATGACAAATTCTTGGGGAAAAATATATAGTATTGAGGAACGTGTCGTCTGACCTTAAATTTTTTATGATCATAATTGTATTTTTTCCTAAGTGCCTCTGAACATGTTATTGAATTATATATATTTTGTATAGCTCAATATAAAAAAATTATTTACGCATTAAATTAACCTCATTTTCAAATTGGATCTAAATATTTCCTTGATTTTAAGATAACATGCGGAAATACACCTTTTTATTTTGAAAGAATGTTTGTCATGATATGGGCACACGTTCAAGGTTAGAAAATGCACTACATATATGAGGTACTATTACAATAATTTACTAGGTACAAATACAATAAACATGCAATTCAAGGTTTCTGATATTGTTGGCCACGGCAATGTTGAATTTAAAGCACAATAGATTATTGACATCGATTTATATTAAAGGCCTAAAAACCTTTTGCCTTACAAGAATTTGCTACAGAGTTGTGAAGAAAATATTTGTGAGTGTCTGTGGCGTGACATGTGATTGAAAAACCTTAGCATATTTTAGAATATTTTCCTTTTTAACTTTACTACATATTTTCAAACCAACTTAATGAGTCCTGAGTTAAGAAAAGGAGGTTTTACACATCTTAAGTTTATCTTGTTTAAATGTAGTTATTTATGCATATGTACATTTTACAAATACAAAGCTTCAAAAGCAAACGTCATTCGTCTGAGAGCTAAAGTCTTTTCAAAATACATTTAAAATTCAGACGTTTTTACAGAATATATTGGATTGAGATAGAAAATTGATACAAAAAATAAAGATTAAAAAAGTGTTTGTTTTTTTTAAACATTTATTATTCTTTTCAATACCCTTTCCTTCAGCAAGTTCTTCAACCAGGCAATCGGATTTAAGAACGTAACTAACAATTCACTATTTGCAGTTCAAACCTCAAGTTTGCAATCCCTTAAGGATTAAACTAGGAGAAAAAAAATTAAAAGACATTATAATGCAAAGTAATGTGGGTAATAATAAGCGTAATAACGCGACTTTAAAAAGTGTTATAACACTTTAAAGCGTAATGTAAGAAAAAAAGGGATTATGTCTTTCAAAAAGCGCAATAATGCAAAGTGAAGGGGTGTTACTACGCCTTTCTAACAGACGTAATAACACAAAGTAAAAAAAAAAAAAAGAAGCGTAAAAACACAAAGGTTTTATAACGCGAAGTGAAAAGGCATTATCAAGTTTTTTTTTTTTTTTTTTTTTTTTTTTTTTTTGAAAAAGCGTAATACATGTAACGTGAAATGGAAAGGCATTATAACATCTTTCGAAAAGGCTTCATAACACAGTTCAAAAGGCGTTAGGTGAAGGACTCATATCTTATTGGATCCATGGGGAATGGATTTCACAAGTATGGTAGATTAATTATTCATTATAATACTTCAAACAATTTACAACCAGATTTCCAGGGAGAAAGATTTTTAAAGGTATAATTTAATTTCAATGACAATATGTTACTAACTTTAGTCCTAATCTAACATGTGTCTAATGCATTCCATCAAAATGGATTTATCAATTTTGATGGAATTGAAGGGTCATTACTTATTGTACTCATGCAAAAAGTTTGCCTGTTTGTCATGTAAGAGAAAAGAAAAAAAAAAGATTTTCAAATATGAACTTTTTCAATACTTGACCAGCTTATCCCCTGCTTGGGCCTTAATCTTGGACCCCAGGGTCATAATTTTCACAATTGTTGTGAGAGGGTTGGTTCATAATAGTTATGCGAGGAGAAGCACAGAAAAGTGTTTTAAAATATTACATGCATTGCATGAATAATGATGGCTTTGATTCCTGTATAATTGACGCCTTTCCACTTCGCTTTATTACTCCTATGTACAACTATCGTGATAACACTAGTTTCAATAAGCGTAATAACGTTCTTTCAAAGGTATAATAACGCTTTTAAAAAGGTGTAATAAAGTCTTTTCACTTTGTGTTATAATGCCCTTCCATTTCCTATTATTATACTCATTTTCAGAAGTCTTAATAACACTTTTTTTTTCTTTCGATCGCCTTATAATAAGCGTAATACAGCTTGTTCTTCTTCCCGTAAATACGTCTTTTGAAAAGGGTCAAAATGTCCTTTTTATTATTTCTCCTATTTTGGCGTTATAATGCCTTATTATTCTGCGTTTTTACGCTTTTTCAGTATTACGCCCTTTTACTTTTCGATATAACGCCCTTTCATTTTCTCAACTTATGTTGATACCAATTGGCTTTCTTAATCTAGAATACTGGTTGCCATTCAAAATTTTCAAATGTTTATATTACTCAATAGTCTCAATTAGACAAAATACGATCATTAAAGACCCCTACCTACATGCAGTTTGCGACTGATGTATAAGGATGGAGGCACAAATGGTCAAATACTACCAATGTGAAAAGTGGTGATATGTATGTAGTTTTGAAGATCCACCCTTTTTTGCCTTCTTTATTATAATAAGGGAGGCCCAGGTTCGATTCGCTGCTCTGCATCCAATCTGAGACACAAACAGAGGTAGTGACTGTTCCTTCGCCAAGAAGTAAAAGTTACAGGTCTTTCGGATGAGACCTCAAAAACCGAAGTCCCGTGTCACTGTGGGCGTTTGCACGATAGGGAACCCTTATTTCTCAATGGTCCTAGGTAAAAAGTGCAGGTCTAAATTTGAAGCCCTTCACTGGTGTAACTGGTATTTGGCTCTATATGAGTAAAAAATTCTCGAGTGAGACGTACATGTAAAACAACATACAATCAAGTTTCTTTTGGAAATGCAACATTTTATATGAGTAAGCAGAGGGTTTATGAACCTTAATTGATTAAGACAAAAAATGTGTTCTAATTAAATTTTAGTTTGGTACAATGTTTAAAGTATTTAAAGCATTATGAAATTATCTCCCGTTTTGTATAGGAGGATTTCCCCCACAGCACCCCCCCCCCCGAATCTGTACTCTAGAGTAGGACTTCCCCTTTAGGGGCAATCTCACACTAGAGCCAAATTTCCCCCTCTTTCTATATCAGAGTAGGATTTTTCCTATTTTATAAATGCTAGAATCATATAGACAATATTTTGTGCAAAAGATAACATTGTACTTTTTTTTCTTTCAGAAACCAGTTTGACCAAATGCAAAGAATAAAACCTAATGTTTTAAAAGAATTGGTTAGGCAATTACTGAGAGAAAATAGAATAAAGATTTTCAATTTTCATAGTTCGTGTGATTCAATAGAACTGGTTGCATTTTGAAAATTTTAAATGTTGAATGCACAACTAGACTTTTTGTTCATATTTTTTTGAAGTTTCTTTAAAATTGTCTGCCTGTTGGAAAATTAAAGGAACACTCGTGACAATGTATCGCCCCTCTCCACCCCTCAGATATAAGCACATGTATAATATTTTATCGGGGAGATTGGCTCCGGCGGAAATCGCACTCCATAACTATTACACGGAGTAGAACCCCCCCCCCCCGGAAAGTTGAATCTTATGTGGGATTTCCGTAGGGGGAATTCTACCCAAGAGTCATTTTTTCGTGGGAAAAATCCTACTCTAGAGCCCATTTCCGGTGAGAAATCCTGCTCTTGATCCAGTTTTTCGGAGGGGTGATTTTAGAGGGGAAAGCCTACTCTACAAGACTGATATTATAGCACAAAAATGGCGTTCCCTAATTGCTGTACAGTGTTGTTTAGATACCCCACCTCAAATATTATAAAGGAAAAAAATGTACACAGAATATAGTTTTCATGGTGAATTCAGAATGATTAAACTTGCAAACAAGTTGCCTGTTGCAGTCATTACATATCAATTGTACGTATATTATAAACCCCATCTGTAATTTATTTTCACTGAAAAAGAAAAGAAAATTAATTGAAATAAAGACTTCCACATGCCAGGTAACAAAGTTGGAAATGAAATAAAATATAATTTAATTTAAAATTAATATAATTCAAGGTCTTCCTGATGATAAGGGTCTGATATTGGGAATGTGGAATCCTGCTTCGCTAACCTCCATCACGGAAATCCCTAGAAATCCCGCCAGTCACTTCGGAAATGTGTCAATGTTTTTAAATCCTTCAGGCGCTCAGATCATTAGCATATCGTCAGATCCAGAGAGGACGATCGTTTTTGCAGCCATTGGATATTCAATTTACGCATTCCAAAACTTTACCATCTGGCAGAATGAAACCATTCCTATTTCAGTTGTATACAGAGGGAGGTCTATCGGAAATGCCCAGATTGCATTTGACTATGTTTCAAAAAATTTATACTGGTGCGATTCCTTGCTTAATTGGATAGCCATGAAACCAGCATATCTCGACAATACAACGATATATAAATTGATTATCCACAACAATTTGAAACAACCAGAAGGATTGGCACTAGATCCCGAGGCTGGGTAATACTTAAATACTCACGCTTATATCTCATAATCTAGATTTCTTTTACAAAGGATGAAAAATGTCCTTGCAAAATTGGAAGACAGTACAAATAATTTTATTTAAAAGACAAAAAATATGTCAATAGTAGTCCTTCTGAAAATAAAGAAGTGTATATAAACTCCAAAGGTACATGAAGATTGTTTCTCAAGCTACACTATAATTTTCTCAAAATTCTCAGTGTCTTATTTTGACCTTTTTTTCTTGTTTGAATTTTCTGTCATTTTATATTGCAGTATTTATGTACAGGTAAAAATGATTCTTTTATGTTTTTCTGCGACCTTGTCAATCATTCCAACAGACTGATGTTCTTTTCCGATAATGATGTGAATCCACGCATTGAAAAGGCCTCCATGAATGGAGATAATAGGACTGTAATAGTGCACACAGGATTGAAACGAGTTCTGTCCCTTTCTGTTGATGTTATCAATAGCTTGCTGTACTGGGCAGACTATGGCAGACACACTGTCGAGGTCAGCGACTATTACGGATTAAACAGAAAAGTACTGCGACGTAGCAACAATGTTCCTGCGACTGGATTACATTTTTATGAGGTAATTGAGTAGGTTTGCTTGTTAATCAACAGTTCCAGTTACTTTTGTGTTCACTTTGGGTTCCACTTTATCCGCCAAGTATATAAACATCTGTTTTAATAGTTAAATTGACTTCGTATATAATGTTCATACAGAACGTACAAAAACATATTTTATATCGGATATTCAATTGACGAATGTTGAGTACTTGCAGAAAAGAAAAGAAACGGGGTCTTAAATTCACATCAGAACGTCTCAACAATCTCCAATCTCCTATGCAGAGTTGTCGTTCGTTCCTCTCTCAGACAATGAATGTATGAGTCGATCGTAGAGAGTGAACAATCTCGTCAAACTAGTGGCCCAAATCCGTATGCCACTGGAATACACATTCATTATCCCTTTATTTAAATTTTTTTTATCTGAAGTAAGTGGACAGTAATCAATTGTAATATCAAATACGATTCATCTTGCTTCTGCTTGCCACTGATCTTTAAATTCGGCTTCCGTAATGGATTTTGCATTAACAGAAGCCATCATGTTGGAGGTAACAGACTTTTCTAGAATACATGCACAAAAGGAAACATTTTGGTTTATTTCCATCTCAGCAAACTGTTGAGTAATCATTTAGCTTAAACATTAACAGGATCATGGTCAATGTAGAATATTTAAATACTAAATAAATATAATAGAATATACCGGTATATTACTAAATAGCAGATCTCATGGAAAATTTTACCTCACCGATTTTATTGACTGACATTCTAAAGTCAAATGCATGATAAATATTATGATGTTGAAATTTTCGAGAAGATCAAATTTAAGAGATATACTAACTAATAACTTAAGGCCGCGTGGCACAGTCGTTAGAGCGTCTGCTCTAGAGTCGGAGTTTATCCTTACGTCGCGGGTTCGAATCCCACTGTGGGACGTGGAGACCGGTCCTTCGGATGAGACCGTATAAACCGAGGTCCCGTGTCGCAGTAGGTGCTGGCACGAAAATGATCCTTCACTGCTCAATGGCCGTAAGTGCCGAGTGTAGGACAAAATTTGCAGCTCTCCATCGGCAAGTGGTGGCGTCTCCATATGAGTGAAAAATTCTCGAGAGGGACGTTAAACAACATACAAACAAACAAACAAACTAATAACTTAAGGTGGGGACCGGTCCTTCGGATGAGACCATAGACCGCAGTAAGTGCTGGCACGAAATAGATCCCTCACTGCTCAATGTCCCTGAGTGCCGGGTATAGGTCTAAATTTCCAGCCCTCCACCGGCAAGTGGTGGCCTCTCCATATGAGTGAAAAATTCTTCAGAGGAAAATTTAACACAAACAAACAAACAAACAAACTGTTAACTTAAAATTCCATTTCTGATATAAAAAGGTAATATGTTCAGTTTTGCCTTATAATTGTAGACAAAAAGAAAAGAGGAATCGAACGAACTCTTAATTCAATGATTTTCTGCCTGTACAGTCCTTTTTTTATTTATGTTGTCACCTCGCAACCCAGTCAAATTTGTGTTCAGTTTATCTTTCTTTAAATATGAACTAATGGTCACTTTTAGTATATAATGATGCAACTGCTTAACGCTTTATTGACACAAAGTTAAACTGGAATGGTCCAAGATAAAACCTTTGATATTGCTTTGTGGTAGAAGAAATGACTACTCCTATGGAAAAAAAATAGAAAGCAAGTAGAGAGATACAGACGACCGTCCTCGGTATTACGCTGGTTTTTTTCTCTCTCTTTTCCTCTCCAGAGAGAAAGAGAGAGAGAGAGAGAGAGAGAGAGAGAGAGAGAGAGGAGATAATATAAAATAATACACTATAGCTCAGTCAAATGCTTTTAATTTTAAATACACTAAAATACGAACATGTCTTTACCCACACTTCATAAAAAGATAATTTTTTTTGTCATGGAATTAGTAAAAATTGACAAAAAAAAAAAAAAAAAAAAAAAAAAAAAAAAAAAAACCAAGATGTGTTTGTGAAACACTGATGCCTCCGTATGGCAGCTTATGGCAAAGGTTAAAGTTTCTCAAATGCAAGTCAAAATCCAGGCCAAAAGATAAAAAAATTAAATTTGAAAGCCCTAGCTGCAACTGTTCAAAAGTTATGGCGAAGGTTTAAGTAGGTCAAACTCCTATGTCAAGGTAAAAAGGTCAAAGTGGTTGGTATCCAAAGGAAGGTCTTGTCACAAGGATTCCATATGTGAAGTATGAAATCCCTAGCACCAACCATTCAAAAGTTATGGCCAAGGTTAAAGTTTTTCGAAAGTAGGTCAAACTCCAATGTCAAGTTCAAAGGGTCAAAGTGGTTGGTATCCAAAGGAAGGTCTTGTCACAAGGATTACATATGTGAAGTATGAAAGCCCTAGCACCAACTGTTCAAAAATTATGGCAAGGTTAAAGCTTTTCAAAAGTAGGTCAAACTCCTATGTCAAGGTCAAGGGTCATAGTGGTTGGTATTCAAAGGAAGGTGATGTCACAAGGATTACATATGTGAAGTATGAAAGGCCTAGCACCAACCATTCAAAATTTATGGCCAAGGTTAAAGTTTTTCAAGAGTAGGTCAAACTCCTAGGTCAAGGTCAAAGGGTCAAATTGGTTGATATCCTGAGGAAGGTCTTGTCACAAGGAATACACTTGTGAAGTTTGAAACCCCAAGCACCAACTGTTCAAAAGTTATGGCCAAGGTTAAAGTTTTTCAAAAGTAGGTCAAACTCCAAGATCAAGGTCAGAAGGTCAAAGTTGTTGGTATCCAAAGGAAGGCCTTGTCACAGAGAATACACAAGTGAAGTTTGAAACCCTAAGCACCAACTGTTCAGATATTATGGCCAAGGTTAAAGTCTCATAAAATTTTGCAAAAGTGGGTCAAACTCCAAGGTCAAAAGGTCAAATATGATGTTACCCAAAGAAAGGTCTTGTCACAAGGAATACACATGTGAAATATGAAAGTCATAGCTCCAACCAATCAAAAGTTATTGGCAAGGTTAAAGTTGACAACAGACAGACAGACAAACAGACAAACAGATAAACAAACAGATAAACGTACAAACAGACAAACAGACAGACAGGACATAAACAATATACCCCCGGGATCTTTCGATCCGGGGGCATAACAAAAAACTGTGTAACTGTCTTAATCTGCTTATCGAACCTAATTTCATTTAAATATCTTCATTTCTGGTAATATTCATACTCTTGGTATATCATTTTACAGGGAATGTTGCATGTTGTAAGCTCTGGAGCTAGAGCCATGTTTGGAGTAGATGCAGCATCAGGAACACAGCTTTACAGTCTAAGGATGAATACAGCACAGCCATATGCAGTACATGTTTATGATGCAGAAACCTCCAAGGAATACATCGGTAAGGAATGTAAAGTCTTAAACAATAAACATTTTGATAAACTTGACACATAATCGGGAATGTTTAAACTATTTTGGGACGAGTTCGATAATGTAGATTCTAGAAAAGATATTCATCGAGCGAGGCGCATGCTTTAGTGATAAATTCAAAAATGTTTTATTTTTAGTTGTAAGCTCAAAATAATGTGCAGGAATTTTGAAGATCTTTTTAAGAAGTCAGGGATTTTGAAAAGCATATTATTTAGAATGTTTCCAATTTTGTTCTCAGTCAAACAAAATGCTTGTACATGTTACCATATATATATATATATATATATATATATATATATATATATATATATATATATATATATATAATATAAATATAAATATAATATATATATATATATATATATATATATATATATATATATATATATATATATATATATATATATATATATACACACACACACACAACAATTCACACCGCTATAAACTGCATTTGCCAGAGGGTTTTAAATATAAATTGTCGTTACATAGTTTATATAGTTTTCTTTTATTATACAGACCCTTGCACTTCTAGAAGTTGTCAACACATCTGTGTAAACACTCCAGAGGGAGCTAAATGCCTCTGTGCCGAGGGTTACTTGATATCTTCAGATGGAATGACGTGCACGGGTTTGCTATGCCTTATTTAACATTAAAGAATCAACACATTTTTGTTCAGTTATTTAGCGTTAATTGTCATGCACAATGAGATGTAAAATATGACTCTTATTTCAGTCTAGAGGGTGCTGAGATAAGATTTTTTAAAATTAAAATTCTTCATGTAGGGATCTTGGAAACGTAGTTCACCTAGTTTCCAGGTCCACAAAACCTTGTCTCTTATTGTGTTTTCTCTAAGTAAATGATAGAAAAGCAAAATTAACTCTAGATAACATCCCCATCTTTTTCAAGACCCTCTCTCAAAATCTTATAGTTTTTTCTTGGACCAGGGAATTTTTCGTACCAAATTTATTGTTTTGTTTGTTTGTTTGTTTGTTTAACATCCCTTTCGAGAATTTTTCACTCATGGAGACGCCACCACATGCCGGTGGAAAGCAACATATTTTGACCTTTGCTCGGCACTTAGGGTCATTGAACAGTGAGGGGTCTTTTTCGTGCCAGCACCTACTGCGACACGGGACCTCGGTTTATACGGTCTCATCCGAACGACCGGTCTCCACGTCCCACAGTAGGATTCGAACCCGCGACGTAAAGATCAACTCAGATTTATTGTAAATGCATGTCTAATTTTCTAAACATATATTGAGTAACCATATTGAGAGACAGACTGCAGACAACAAGGGTAGAAAATTACCTAACGTCAACTTCTTTTTAATTCATCATTGTTTGCAATTAATTTATAAAATGATATATAATGAAAAATTCAAAGATGTTTTCGATTTTTTCAAAAATGTATAAATAATTTGTTTAAGTTATATTGGATAATAGTTTTGTACATTTTTTTTCCACCAGATCGCTCCTGGTTCCATGAGAAAGGCTTTATCTTGCACAATTCAACGGCGTTTTCGATGTATGAAGTGCATTTCGTCAACGGTAGACGAGGCTTGTATCCTATTATAACAGTCCCCTCCTCCATTATTCAGACATTTGCTGTTGACGCCAATATGCATCTTATCTATTTTGTGGACAATAGCAACAACAAATTGAAAGAACTGAATATAATCAGTTTTAAAATTAGAACGTTGACGTCCATTCAATTTGCATCAGGTAAGCTGCTGAAAATGAGCCTCCCATCACAAATAAAAATTAGTAGATATCACACAATTTCATAAAAAAAATGTAAAAATGTATTATCTATGATAAATTAATGAATACTTACAATGCTTTCTATTGATGTACCAAATACGTCGAAGTCCAAATTTCCTTTTTACACAGACTCATAATTTGTGATTTAACGTTAGAAAAGAAGTGTCACTGATAAATCATTGTGGGTTGCATAATTATGCTTAAGGGTTTGGTTTTGTGTTCATCCAAGTGAAACTCGTATGAAATAAAAATCTCTATATCTTAATAAATACTTCTTGCTTACTCTTGAAAACAGACCTATGACATCTTCCATGTGAAAGCTGTCTTGACATGTATGCAGTTTGGTTGTCACTTGCAGTGTCTTGCAGCAATAATGTGCATTTTACACTTGCAGGACTGCACAGCTACAGGTCTAACAAAACAATAACACGACATTTGTTGTATATGTGCAGATAGTTGAACGTCATGGGTACAACTATTTGTTTCGTTCCTAGCAACTCTGTGCGTACTTTTTGCATATCTGTCTGTTTTTCATCAACTAGGCATGTCCGCCATGCGAAATCTGTGGGCTGCCATTCCGGTATTGAAACCTACTGACTATTTCTGTAATCTGGTGTCTCTAGTACCCCAATTACACAAAACAAATAGAGAGACATCTCGTAAAACATCTCCAGCTATTAGAATGTATCGATCGAAATGTTTAATATTATTTATCATAAGAGTAACATCGATGTTTACGTCACATCAGAGAATGCTCCGTCTTTGATTTTACAATGCACCAGATAAATTAATACGCGCCCAGTTTTAGCAGTTACGACTGAAGTTAACGTCTGTTATTTCTTTTGCAGGTAAGGTTATGAATTACTTTTTATTAAATAAGCATATTAATCCTACAGATGTAGGACAATGTCATATAATATTGAAAAAATATTGCACGAAAATTAAGAACTACATTCACTCTGCGTAGTTTATATCTGAGGTCTGTCATGCGATATTCGGCTAAACTGAAAGTAGGAGCTGGTAGGTAGATTTTTTGTCTTTATTGTGAATTATGAGCCTTCTCTCAGATATATAATTTAACTCCTACTATCAGTAATACATTCTGAGTATAACAACGCCTGCGATCTGATGCACATCAATTTTAAAAAGGTTAAACGTTATACGAAGGATCCGAGAATTTCCACGTGTTTCTTGCAGACCGCAATTTGGTAGCGGGTAATATTTAAGGTTACTGTAATAAATGTTACTATGTTTCAAAATACTAAAAGTATTCGTCATTGTATCAAAATATAGTTCATTCAAAAACACGGTTTCAAATATTATGAGTAGAGTAAATAACTAAATTTTGTTTTCATGAATGAGCGATTTATTGTGTAAGATCCTTCATTGAGCCTCAGACACACCAAGTTAAATGTCCAATGACAGCTAAGTGAAGTGGCTCTACGTAGTACACATATATGGTAAATCAGTTGTGTTATTTGTAAATCAAAATTTTTATATTCAAATTTTATTGCTTTTTTGTTTTACTTTTTGTAAAAAGGGATGCAATATACATGTATATATATATATATTATTAATTATTCACAGTTATATAAATAATATTCACATAAGTTTGTACTATGTATACAAACCATCATTTTGGACTTGGTCATTCTAATTTGCAGATTAGTGCAGTATACATATAAGTTTTTCATGGGGAAAAGTATAAATCAAATGATAAAAATTTTTAAGGATGTCAACTTAATTTGGTTTTTGCTTGATATGTAAATTGTTTATCAAATGAAGAGTGCAGCAAAATTGAAAAATAATTATTTTTTTTATAAGAAAATTGCATAAAGTATTATTTTCTAGTTGAAATGGTTAAGATTGAAAATTGAATTTCTGCAACTGCATTGATTTCATCAAATAGGGAGCAATAAGGGGATCTTACCTGATCTTAAGTTACCATTGAGCATGCTGAATCAAATGCTACCAAGCATATTTATTTTTTATTAAATGGTCATTTTATGAAAGTTTTTCATATGCTCAATCAGACATACGTTGTTGGTTGCACTTGTAAGGAAGACATAAGGTGCTGGGGGGAGGGGGGGGGGAGGTAAATCTTGGTATTGATCCATAAATATCATAATATTGAATTTATTCTTGTAGAATCCTCTAAGACTTTTCTATAAAAATTGAAAAAAAAACAAAAAAAAAAAAAAAACTAATGAATGTACATATAGCCACCACTTTATCTCAAAGGTTATTATTATTTTTACTATTTATTTATTTATTTTTTTTTTTTGAGGACCTGCATTTTAATGGTACAGATAAACCTTGTTATTTCTATCCTGACTATCCTGATAATATGGTACCAATAAAAAAAAATCGAGAAATCCAATAGTTTGACACATTAAGGTTAAAATGCTTAAAGAAAAAAAGTGACTTTCAATGAAATATGAAGATAACAAACAATTATCAAATTCAAATTGAAATTCACATTTATTGATGTTCTCGAGATTGAAGCAAAACTCTATTAAAATTCTTATAAAGTCTCAAAGAAAAAAGTTTTATTGGGCCAGTTTCAGGAAATAAATACCATTCAGTTAAAATACTGACACCTTTAACAAAGGTTAATATTAATATCTAGATTTAAAAGAATTGTTTTTAAATTTTTTTTTCTAAAATTTATTATAATTATGTTTACCATGTTTACAGAATGCCTTGTTTCACAAAAAAGAACACTGCTCAGATATATTTTCTGGACTGCCAATTTCTGCATTTCATGTGATACCTGTGTTGGAGCCCTCCCAAGAACCTCCCCTGTAAGGTGAGTTTTATATTACAATGAAATGATTCTGTTAATTTAATAGACATGTGTATAAGGATATAACGTAGGTGTTATAATCACAGTGAGCTGACAAGTCATTTTCATTTTGTATGATTGGATTCAGATGTTATTCTATGGGTAATGAATGAAAGAATACACAATTTTTATGATGAGAAATATATATGCGGTTGGATGAAAAGAAAGATCTTGTTTAAGTGAATGTTGTGTATGTGTCCATCACATTGTCTCAAGCCATGGTTGGAGTCCGCCTACAGCTCTCTCCTACCCGTGGCTGCTTGAGCGAATAAAGTATCGTAATCATGAATAATCAAACCTTATGACTGTGATGTCACGTTATAAACCAAATAGATATAAAAATAATTGTTTATATTGCGTTGACTTTAATGATAAAAAACAAATGTTAGGTAAACAGTGACTGAAAAAAGAAAAATATCGCATCAGAGGTTGTTTTTAAATAATTGAAAACTTCAATCTCTTTTGGAAGGAACTGTTTCTGATCATCTTCTTGTAGTTTACTAACACACATGTCAAGATCATATCAGGTTTTTAAAATTCTGCCATCCAATCCTTACCTTGTCATTTAACCTTCAGATTTTGTACCGATACTTGTCTCCTTTATTTAATTATGATCTTATATGCTTGTCTCATCTAGTTCCCAAGGCAGGATGACATGACCGTCACTTGGGTTTACCTTGATCTTATTTATGGTTGACCTCTTTATAAACAGATTAAACTCATTTATCTTTATATGGATTAAACTACTCTGATCTACACAATTGTAAATTAAAATGAGATACATGTATATTCAGTGCAACAATCAGTGTTGACCAACATTTACAATGTGACCAGCCTTTGACCCTGAAATTTACTTGTCCATCTTTGCATGCTTTTTACTTAGTCATGATGTAAAGATTTAACTTGCAATTCAAGTTCCCTCTTTGAGAGTGATCAACAGTATTGGGTTTTTAGTGGTATGTTATAAATTATTTATATTTAATATTTTACAGATTTCAAAGTTAAGGAGGCCATTCAAATGATAGTGGTTTTGGTCCATGTTGGTTTGTCTCAACAGCTAATCTTTTGGAAAGCAGTGTTGGAGAAAATATCAGCAACATGAGAAGACTGTGATTACGTTTCATACGATATGACTTGAGAAAGTTGATATTTCTGATTTCATGGTTGTATGTACAAATACATTGAACTTTCCAAACATCACTGAAAAAAACATATGATGACCATAAACAAAAGTACATATTTGAACTTTCCACAAGTTTACAATGAGGAACATTTTGGGATCTTGATACAAGATATTTTAATAATGTTTTATCTAATTTATTGTTTAGTGCATTAAATGCAAAAAATGTTTTAAAGTCACTCTTTTGAAACACATGCTTAGAACACGGGTCTCAAATATCTTAGAGTTATATTGTTAGAATTGAAGCTTATTTATAAAATTATACCTTATATCTTTAAGAGGGCTGAGTGGTTGTGGCCATTTTCAGACTATATTGATCTCCTTTAGAAGAAGAGCTCCATATAAAGATATACAAAAATGATCAAATTTTAAAACTAAAATGTATGAGATTTTTGTTTGCTGATAATTGACAGCTTAAGATATCATATCTAAAAAATTAAGTTATATCTGATGGTTAATTTGTTGACCCCCCAGCCTCCTTAAAGAAACTTTCTAAAAAGTAGTCAAACTTGCATATGCACGTTAAAAGAAATATATATCCTGGAAGTGATTAAGAATTTAAAAAAAGTTCATTTATCATCCTTTTCTTTTGTTCTTCTTGGTGACTTTTTTACAGTAATCAAAGACATTTTACATTTTAGCTCATCTGAACAGAGGCTATATTGAACTTTTCTGATCAAAGAGTCTCTGGTGTCTGTCCATCTGTCTTCCATAAAAATTAAACCCTAAAATAGGGGTATCAAAGTTTGACATGGGAATAGATAGGAAAAAATCATCCTTTAATGAACAACAAGGTAATGATTTACTCATAATTTAATGCAAGCATCCTCAAGTAGTGAAGATCAAGTTGGTCTAAATCATGGGCCAGACCTAATATTATACTGGTAATAATATTACAATATTTCCTATTTGTATTTTTTTTTTCCGTTTTTTTTTCTTCTTCAAATAAATCTGAGATAAGATTTTATATATAAATTAGGGATGGCAATTTGTAACCGGTTAATCGATTACTCGGTCGGAACGATGGCAATCGATTAGAAAATCTGTAATCGGTTAATCGGAAGAAATAAAATATTTGTTAAATTGAACACATTTTAAAAAAAAATTATTAAAAAAAAAGAAATCATGATCATTTAGGATTTAACGGATCTAATTTGGACGTACATGTAATTATGAATCTCCAGATTGAGACCGTAGCGTAATTGGTCAGTTTATGTACAGTGTTAATTACTGTTATAACACCATGTCGTTACCCCGACTGTCCTGTAATTCTTTAATGATAATAATTGAATCATTGAGCACTGTGAATTGGCGTGTTTTCCGTTTTCAATGCAATTTAATTATTACACAAACATTGTAAATTAAGGACTATAGAGTTCACATGTTTTGATTATCGTAGTTAAAATGCAGAAAAAACTTTTGTGACATCTGCTCTGGAAAATTATCAAAGAGTCCTTAGGCTTTTTTCATGGATTTCTCAATTTTTCTTGTCTACTGAAATTTAAATAAAAAAAAATGTACCCGTAGTTTTCTGATCCAGAATCAAGACTAATGAAACGTTTCAACTTCTATCGTCTTATTTGGGTCTATTTGTGTATATGGAGAGAGCTACTTGAAAAACAATTTTCAAGAAAACATGCATTTTGATACGATTAACCGGTTAATCGGTCGGAACGTCTTGCGGTTAACCGATTAGCAATTCTGTAATCGATTGCCATCCCTAATATAAATTGGTAAATGCATGTATACATGTGAAAAAAAAACTTCAGAAAACATATAAGCCATGTTATAGCCATATTGATAATGAAATATCCTCATGTTGTGGAATCAGTTTTGGATTATACATGGGTTTATGACCCCAGGGTGGGGCCACAATATTGGCTCAAAGTTTTTATGAGAATTAAGGGGGATAAGAATGTCTTAGAAATCTGAAGAACATCAAGGTGACTCAAGTGAACATTGTGGGCCAGGCCTCTTATTTAAATTGCACACTTTCATTCCACCTGCAGATTTTTAACATCTTCTTTGGCATATTTTCTAAGGAGAAAATTATTTTTCTAACATTAATTTAGCTGTGTTTTGTACAGGCCATAGAGTAATACTTTAGATATATCTGGGCTTTCATACAAAGTGCTATTTTTAGATCAAGAGTGAGTCTCTTTAATTCTATTTTTAACACATTGCCATGTGGTTGGGACTACTTTCATGGCTAACATTTTCTTGTTGAACTAACATGTATGCATTTAAAGAATTGTACCTATTGTAGTGAGTTTACATTTAAAACAAGGGTTCTTCACAAATAGTTGTAGCCACTTAATTGGTTTAACTATTTCATATTTTTTTGGATTTTTTGGTGCACTACTAAAACCTGTGGCTGCGCAGTCCTGCAGGTGTATTGTGCACTTCATAGCTGCAAACTACTGCAAGTGTCAATTAAGCTGCATATGTCCAGAGATTGTTTTCATTATGAAGATGACATAGACCAGTTTTCAAGTGTTAGCAAGGCTTAATTTTTGAGATATTAAGGTTTTTATATTTAGTGAGTCTCACTTTGCTGCACACAAAACCAAACCCTTAGCGTAACAGAGGAATTCCTTCTTATTGAATTATCGTACGTAGTATAGTATATATCATTTTGACAAATACTTCAGTTTTATCCCTTGATATCATAGATCTGAATTTTGATTGGATTACTAATCTTCTTGGATGGATTGAACCTACTTCGTCTAGCATAAAGGCATTTTCAGTTAATTCTGGAACAACGTCAACAATATACATCGGACTTGAACAACCAACTTCATTAACAGTTAACTCTCATAATGGGTTTGTTGATCTATTATTATTACAATGAGTAGATCAAACCCTTGTTGCTTTTTTACTTTATTTCTTGATTTGAAATTAGGTATAATTTGAAAAAGCTGGTAGTAGACTATAGTTATGACACAATCCATCCCTATAGATACTTAAAGCAGATTACGTAAACAGCTTTTAATGTAACTTAATCAACAAAGAAAATCAAAAAAGAAGTATGGTAGAGGAGATTGTAAGCTATATTTCATTGTCATGCAGCTCTAGCAAAAAACTACTCAATTGGATATAATGACTATAAATTTAGTAAACAATATTACATGTAACATGCAATTTCAAAATAAAAGATTTCGATATGTTCAAAAGATTAATTTTGCACATGAAAGATTTGAAATATATTTACAAAAGACAAATTAAAGAAAAACAAAACAATTAAACAGTATATTGAGACCAAGTAGCTGTTTATACTCTGCAAAAACATTAAAATTTGAGGAAAAAATCTATGACAATTAAAACTACCACTGAATTTATAATAAGAAAGTTTTCCTAGCAGATTCGAGGCACTGTTTCAAAATAAAACTATTTCCAAATCTTTATATGATTTAAAAAACATTATGATGATATTTTTCAATGAAAAATAAATATTTCTATTTTGTAATGATATTGTTCTAATGATATTAGATAATATATGATAATGATATATATATAATATATGATAATGATATTGTTCCTTTAGAGACCTTTATTGGATTTCGGGAATATTAGGAAAGTCCATAATGAATGGAAACTGGAATAGAAATTTTCCTCGTACAGTTGTGTCGACTGCAAACCTGAATGACCCCAAATCTCTCCTTTATGATGTCACAAGCAACCGGTATATTTTAAAGTTACAAACTATACTGTAGTTTAACGTGTACTTTTCCTATCATATTAAAAGATCAAAAAATGAAATTTTCACAAAAAAAATTTCAACTGGAATGAGTTGGTTTTATATTTTTTATTTAAATAACACGATTTTACTTCACCCATTTTCAGCATTAATGTGCAGTTGTTGTCGCTATTAGAAAACTGATCCGTAATGCAGCTTTTCTAAAACCTGTGAAACAAGAATCAATAAACTAGAACGTAAAAGTTTAAAATTTATGCCATGTTATAGATATGAAGTAACATTTACTGATGCTGCTAGGTCAGTTGCATTTTATTGATGTAGCTAAACATTCATATATCTTCATGTTTCAGGTGCATAATATATATCGCACTTACAACTTAAACCCTAAATATTTTATTATGTATAATGAAGAATGTCTTTATAGACAAATGGCTTTCTATTAATCCCAATAGTAAGTAAATCATGTGCATTTCAAACGCCCATTCTCTTTTTATAGCCGAAAGACCGATATTAACATTAAACCCCATGGTTGTATTTCTGATGATACGTTATATATGTTGCATTTATACCGAGTATATCCAATTCGGTTATCATCAATAAACTTTTTAATTTGTTCCTCGTCTCTATAGGGAGGAAGAAAAATGAATCATTACTTGCAAAAAAATGCATACCTTACCAATACATCCAAATGTAAGAGAAACTGTTAGAAATTTTACACTAAAGTCTTATTCGTGTACCACATGCTTCTACATGTATTACAATATGCCACTTTAATTGATAATCAAAGAAAATTACATGTATGATTAAACACAGATATTTAATCAAAATTAAATTAGTACTAGTATTTCATAATAAATCTAATAAAATTTGAAATGTTTGGATGCCTATGTAACATTCAGTAACGTAGGTATTAGCTACTTTATCCCTTTTCTTTGATAAATAGAAAAAAAAAATACGATGGTTTTTATGACTGTAGGGATACGTTAATAGTACATATAACTTTTAAATGGTAGTTACTCTCGCTTACGTTATCATCTGTCTGTCTCCTTCTGATTTTACTCATCACGACATCTTTTATTTCAAAAGATGGCCAAAAATGTTGATTATGGTACAGGTCTAAACCATTAAAATAAACCTGGCAATGCAATCGACAGCTTTTAGCCTTTTATATACAAATCATATTTTAAAAAAAAATTATCAGATCTGATCACGTATGTATATCTTTTTTTACGTTTCGACAATAACATTAATTTTTATCATTTGTTAAATTCGAGGCCAGAATCTGAATTCTCAAAATACTTTTTAAACTTATCTTTATCAAGCAAACAGACAGTACATTCTTATTAGTATTATTGTTACCAACTGACATTATTCTCGTCCATTCTTACATTAGCTCTGAGTCTCGTACATAACTTCTGAGGCTGTAATTTGTGTGAATAAAAAACTGATTATTTTCGTTGTTCTCACATTTATTGATAGACAATAGTCCACTCAGTTCAAATGGAATGAATTTTGTTTTTCATTTTAATAGTTAAATTTAACATGGTATTGTAACATATACATCGTTTATGTCATTAATTTTTTTCGGTTGCCCTACAAAACAGCTTTCTTTACTTTTAAATTAATTACCTAAATACTACAAATTATTGGCCTTGCAATAAATAAAAAAATGTCCTAGTTAATAAATATCCTCTAAAGAAGTTAGAACGCCGACATTGTTTTATTTCATTACCAATAATTATAATAACGTATATATTGCAGTGATCTCAGGGATAAAAAGTCTTGTATTTTTGTCAAATTTTACATCGTCAGAAAAGTGTAATAGATTTTTCGTGATATAAATAAGTTATCTGTTGTTAACCTAACGTACACCAAAGTTTTTGGAGTTTCAAATATACCCTGTTTGCACATTATTATTGAGGATGGTCGTTTTACTAAATGTTCCTACAAAATAATACGTAACCAAGAACAAGAAAAAAAGACTTGTAATTGAAATTGGTTTCAGGAAGAAATAATCAATTTATAAGTCATTTTATATCTAAGGTTGTATTGGGTTGATGATTCAATGATCAAAAGTTCATCGACAAATGGATCCGATATTAAAAGCCACGTCATCACGTTTGGTGTAACACAGGCATTTGCATATAAGGTAAAAAAAAAAAGGGTTTCTAAAATTTTAAGGAATTTAAGTGTTATGCCAAAAGTGTACAGATCTAGAGTGTAATTGACAATGCCATGGTAATTTTTTTTTTCTTCATTTCATTCTTAAAGACTTCTAACAGTTTCTTTTATTGACAAACGCGTGATAAATCATTTCAATAAGAATGGTGTGTATCCAACCAAAAGTAAGTAGATCTTTTTGAATAATAAATATGGCTCTTTAAACGAAGTATGTTTGCATTTATTTATGCATGTATGGTATAGATTAAGTTTATAAAATCATACATGTAGATATAAAGATATAATTACTAGGATAAGGCTCAGTTGTAAAAACTGCATTGAGCTTATTTTCAATAAAACAAACGTGAAAAAAATTCTTTTCAGGGTTATTTAGGCTGGATAATGGGGAACAAAATGTACTTCTCTAGAAAGTCTTCAAAGACTGCAGAGAGATATGTAGACATCGGAGAAAATATCAAAGGGGTGGCCATCTTCGATTCGTCTCTGCAAGAGGATAAAAGAGGTGTTCATTGTTAAAAACGTGTTATCCTTGTGTCATATGATAGTGTAAATTTGTACTCTAGGCACCTGAGCAACAAAGAAAAAGATCGAATTGTTTATTTTAACTCTTATGATGAACTGAGATAGGAATATAACCCTATTAATATTTCTTAGAATTTCCACTCCAAATTTAGAAAACATCATAAAACATTTCATGATGTATTTTAATTTTTAGAATCACGTATACAGTGTATACAAAGGAGAAGGTCTCACCAAAATATTAGTTGATTCTTATATGTAAATGACTTTTAATTCTTCAATAAATTTTTCTTTTGAGATATTCAGTTAATCGAATCTAGCTTTATCAAAAGGTATTCATGCATGTTTAAACATTTACATATGCTAAAAGTAGAATATTTTAGTTTTGAATTCCAACAAATCAGTGCCGTCATCGTGTTAAACAGATAAGTATAATAATTAAGGGCTTTTTGCAATCTATTCAGTGAGTTTCCATTGGATATTCGATATAAAATTTTGATATCAGTTACTGCAATTTGATTACCTTAAGATTTTATTATAAAATCACTTTTAACTCGTATGTATATTTGTTAACTCCTTTATTACAGTTGTAGCAAACAATTTTCAACCAATTTATCGGTACACTAATTAACCATTAATGATGGATTATACTAAAACATTATCATTTTGGAATCAAATTTGATATTATTTTACTATTTTTTTTCCACATGTTTTAATGATCTGAAACATTTATCTGGAGAGAATATTATTACCTATTCAACATATTTTTAATTTTTAAGGCAGCTGTCATTTACTTAATGGTGGTTGTCAAGATATTTGCTTGCCGTTACAAACTGGTCGTGAGTGTGAGTGTGATTTAGGTCTTAAGCTTCAGCCTGATTTGAAAACATGTGATAGCAGTGAGTATTTTCGTGCATATTTATTTTTTATTGTTAATGGAATTTGTTTAGATGTTTAAAACACTTTCCAATTTAGATTTGAAAATATTCACATGATTTTTAAATTCCAAGAACTTTATTATTACCTATAAAAAAAATGGTTTTAAATTTGATAGAAGTTTACACGTCGAATTTCATCGTGGTGTCTGATTATTCCCATGGGAGGATGCTTCAGATTAACATAGACAAAGGTGGTCTCGTAAAGCTGCCTATAAGTACAGGGAATTCTGCAGGAATAACATTCGATAAAACTACAAAGGAACTCCTGTATTGTGATCGCTCCACGAAGAATATAATGTCTTCTTCACTCCATGGAGGGAACACCACTCTGGTCTATGCAACTGGTAAATCTGATTTAATGATAGGAACTGATTTATTGCGAACATATTCGTAAATACCCCCTCCCCTAAATATTATCTTAAATGTAATTGCCTGGACATCGTTGTTACTTTATACAACAGGCTTTGTGAATCCTGAACGTATGGCGATTGATTATTCAACGGGAAATATTTACTACACTGCGGTAGGGTCAACATCGAGTCAGAGTTATATTGGTGTTATTCATAGAACTACCTTTCAGCATAAGACATTGTTGTCTGACCTTCACAGTCCAAGAGAAATAGTGGTATATCCGTCAAAAGGGTAGGTTTGGCCATAAATAGCCATAGGTCATTTTTCATCATGTTTTTGATTTTGAGATCACTGCAAAAATTAAAAAAAAATTACTTTGCTTTTTTTCTTATACATGTAATTAGTTTCTTGTTTTGGACGGAGTTTGGGAATCTAACTGAAATAGGAAGAGCATATATGGACGGGTCATCAAAAACATATATTGCAACAACTGATATTGGATGGCCTAATGGTCTTGCAATTGATTTTATATGTAAGTAAATGTAAATGATATACATCTACATTCAAGATCAAGTAAAAAATTACCTGTTTTAAAATTTATTATCTTTTTAGCCGACAGAATTTACTGGACAGATGGACAGAAAAACCGCATTGAATTCTCAGATTTAAATGGAGGAAACAGACGTGTTTTGACAACTGACAATGATGCACATTTGATGAGCATTGTGGTTCACGGACAGTATCTCTATTATACCGCGTGGAATCGGCAGTCAGTATTTTTCTGTCATCTTATATCTTTTAGAAACTGATTTTCTTATAAAATCTGACAAATATGTCCTTAATTGCTTTTTCCCATTGCATTGCTCATGCAGACGGATAACAAAGATGCACAAAACAACAGGATCAAAAGTCACCTTTATGTCAAACAACCCTGAGCTTGGTCGACTTGACAGTCTTGCTATATACGCAGACGATGTAGTTGATGGTAATCAGTACCCTCTGAGTTAAATTACGCATTCCAAAGAATTTGTTTTTGTCCAAAACCATGAAAGGCTATTTCACTTTCTTATAGTGAGTTTAAGTTGTTCCCAGAAAAACGGCGGCTGTAGTACGTTCTGCTTTCCCAAACCAACAGGAAGAACATGTGGATGTCAGGACAATGTTGATTTACAATCAGACCAAACAATATGTCAAGGAGGTTCATATTTAACAAGTCATTTTTCTATGTCAATAAAATAGCTAATGATGGTACTTAAGTTTTGGAATTGAATTAATGGAATGTCTTATTGTAGCGTAAATGTCACATATAACGTAATATTTTTCCGTGTTTTTAAACATATTTTTACTTTTTGCAGTATCTCGTTGTACCACTTCACTACAGAATATATATTTACTCGATTGTCTCCCATATCCTGGGCAGGTTTGCAATATAGAGTGTAAAGCTGGATACAGACTAGATGTCAACACGTCTATTACATGTGATACTTCTGGACAATGGAATCCTTCTCCATCTTCTTTATGTACAGGTGAATTTCTGAAGTAATAAATCATAAATTATGAATAAGGTGTAAATTTAACATTGAAAAATTCCATTTGTAGGATTTTTTCCTACTACATGTAAAAAGTATCTTTAATATAGATACTAGGTAAAATGAGAACAGGTAACCTCAAAACATCATCTACTTGTTCTCTCTCCCTCTATCTAATCTCTCTCTCTCTCTGTCTCTGTCTCTCTCTGTGTGTGTGTGCTGCTCGCTTGAATATAATTATAACATATTTGATTATAATAATTATTTCAATCCATATTCTTTCATAGAAATATTGTGTCCATCACCTGTTGGAAATGTTATGCTGTCATCAATTTGCACGCGAAGAGTGGGTGACTCGTGCACATTCAAATGTGCTGAAGGCTACATCTCGACGATTTCACAGAACTTGCTTTGTACAAATGATGGTACCTGGAACTATGACACCAAAAACTTATGTATACGTAAGGAGAACAACAGATTAGTGAATAATAAAAAGAAATACTGAGTATATGACAAAATCAAAAAAAAAAAAAAAAAAAGGACAAATGGATCAAGTTTACTTTTCAGGAAAAAATCAGCAGATTTTCAAAAAAAAAAAAAAAACAAAAAAAAAAAAAAAAAAAAAACACGTAATATGTCTATATATACAACTGTGTCATATCTCTCAGGAACATAATTAAAGTGAGGGAAAAAATATTATATTACATGTATGCAAACTGTCAATCCAGCGCACAATTTAGAAGTATTAAATGTATTTACTAGCTTTTCATAGTATTTCCGTTTCAAGTCTCCTGGAATCTGACCGAATGCCCCAGGGTAGGCTGAGTCCATCATGTTTTGAAAATTCCTTATATTTGACAAATATTATTTGCTTTCTGAATGTCTAGAAGGCAAACTGTTTACATGAGTATAATGAGTAATTGGCTTTCAACAAAATTTACGAAAACTATTGTTTCTATGTATAACTTCGGACCCCAGAATAGGGTTAAGTTCGTCATGAATTAAAATTTCGAAATTGGCGTTCCCTGAGCTAATTAAGCATCTAGGGTGATGCAAGCTGGTGCATCTATTGAAAAACATTTTTAAGAATCTTCTTCACTCTTAAAACATCTAGAATATAATCATTAACATATCTTCCAAGTTGTAAAATCCATGTCACATGGGTCTGGAAGTCAAACTCTAGGTGGAACTGAGTTGGTCTCAGCCTAAAATCTCATTTGTATGTTTATCAGGTGCTTCTTTTAAAACACTTATTGACATAAACAAAAAATGAACTCTTAAGTCATGAAATGTTTCTCCAAAACGCAAATTTATCAACATCAGTGTAATTAACAGGTTCTGGTTGTTCAAAGACAATACGAAATGGTCAACTAATCAACTGTGAATCAACACTAGGAGAAACATGTCGATATGAATGCAATAGTCAACTGGAAAACAATCCATCTGTCCCAAATGTTACATGTAACACAAGTGGTAACTGGGATCACGACACAAATGATCTATGTGGTAGTGTATATTCATTCTAAAGCAAAGCGTAATCTATAATTTATTGATTGTATGTTCTTTTACGTCCCATTCTAGATATTTTTTCATGTAGTGACCATTTGCTATTATACAACATAACTGATGGTTACATTTAATATGAAATATAAATATATATATAAACATATATATGCATAAAATATATATTTGTATCCTACTCTAGTGCAACTGTGTCCTTCAACTATTCGTAATGGAAACTTAAAATCAGATTGTCAAAGAAAAGTTGGATATAGCTGTTTATTTACATGTGACAGTGGCCATAAATCTATAATTTCTTCTTCAAATATTGTGTGTACCTCGGATGGCCTTTGGAACGAAAATACCAACGAATTATGCCAACGTAAGATAATTTCTTTAATTTTCTTGTCACATAGTGCACTTTGATACCGCAAATTTAAAAGAGCAAAGTAAGACAATTTCATTCTTCAAACGCACCGATGGCATTTGCATACAAAGCACTTGTAAGTGAATACAGATGTTCTTTCTTAATTCAACATTATTTTTGCTTTTTAATACATAGATTTGTTTTGTTTATTTGTTGTTTAACATCCCTCTCGAGAATTATTCACTCATATGGAGACGCCACCACTTGCCGGCGGAGGGCTACAAATTTTGACCTATACTCGGCACTTAGGGCCATTAAGCAGTGAGGGATCTTTTTCGTGCCAGCATCTACTGCGACACGAGACCTCGGTTTATAATGTCTCATCCGAAAGACCGATCTCCACGTCCTGCAGTGGGATTCGAACCCGCGATGTAAGGATCAACTCCTTACTCCACGACTCTAGAGCAGACGCTCTAACCATGTCAAATGGTAATATCTCAAGTATTGATAGTTATCATGAGAAGTCAGGTATTTGGAAGGACATGCATGTTTCTTCTTTTAATACATAGAAGAAACATGCATGTCCTTCCAAATACCTGACTTCTCATAAAAACTATCCATACTTGAGATATTACCATTTGACATGTATATTAAATGAAAGAATTTCCACTGATTTAATAAATTGACCATAAACTTGTGTCAAATGTAAAAACAATTTGTTGTCTCCCTAATAGGATAAACTTAGTTCTTTATGCACAGCTTTGCATTATTTTATCTTACAGAACAAGTAAATTAATATAAATGATGTAATGCATCTTGTATATTTAGCCAGCCCATCCACGAGTGAGGATAAAACAATTGCGTACATTGGAATGTCAGCAGGTATTATCCTTGCCATTATAATAATTGCGGCTGTTTGCTTCACGTACCGCAGAAAACCACATGTTGTTGGGTAAGATTATACTGGTAAAAGGGTGTCTTAAAATGCACTAAACTTAAAAAAAAGTTTTGATGTAAATTAGTTTGATGACGAATAACATCATCACAAGGCTATTTAAAAAGCATTATGCACCTGGGGAATTGCAATACCAGCTTATTATTTTCACTCCCTCTTTCATTGCCATTTATTACCAATACTATACTTAAAGGAACAGAAGCACTAAATAAAACATGGTATATAACTTTCATTCAATGAGGTATAAATATAAATTTTAAAATAGAGCTATTTCAATTATAGACAAGAATACCAGAGTGCTCCTGCAGCTCGTAATAATATCTATGCAACGTTCAAAAATGGTGGATATATGACTGATAGCAGTGATTTACCAGAGAGATCCGTTTCTGATGTGTACTGCTCAATTGACGACACCTTCGCTACTGAATACGAAGAACCGCTTAAAGATACCTACCTGAACCCTCTCACATACTGATAAATTATCATTTTAATAAACGTTTATTTAATGTAATGTTCCTACATGTATATATGATTAACTTCCACAAGCAATGTTGCTGTGACGTATTTTTTTTTTTTGCTAGACCCATAATGTTGACTACATAGCTTTGACAATCTTAATGATACTTTCTTGAAATAACAATGATCATAGTCAGCAACCCTAGTTGTGCGTTTTACATATAAAATTTTTAAAGAAATTACATTTGCCATTGAAACAGAAGAAATATCCAAACAAAAAAAATTAAACCGCTTAGCATAATTTTCAAACTTAGAAAAATCGTTTCTTGTATCATATCAAAGTGTGTTATGATTAGCAATAAAATAATATATGTTGTACAAAGTATGTCACTGTTGAAATAAACGTTTATTTAAATAAATGTAACGTTCCTACATGTATATATGTTTAACTTCCCCGAACAACGTTTCTGAGACGTATTTATTTTGCTAGACCCATAATGTTGACCGCGAAGTTTTGACAATCTTAGTGATACTTCATATTTTTTCATCTTTGGATATTTTACTTGAAAAAGACTTAAATGGTAATCTAACAACCAAGCTTTATGATAAACGTGATGACTTTAACATTTCAATAGTCAACTTCCCTTACTTATGCAGCAATATTCCTTCATCACTTGCATACGGGGTTTATATCTCTTAGTTGATTCGATACGCAAGAGCATGCTCTACGTATGCACAATTTCTAAAACGAGGTACATTATTGACAAACAAGTTGATGAAATATGAGCTGTCTCGTTTAAAGTCATCATTTCGTAAGTTCTATGGTCGATACAATGACCTTGTCCGCAAATAATATTTATCATTGAGTCAAATGCTGTCTGACATTTTTCATACTAATTGTTAGGCCATTATTTACACACTGAATTGTCGACGGACTTTGCTGTTATTTCCCGATCATGACAAGGAGCACAAGGCGGGTGTGGCCGGTCGGCAGGGGATGCTAACTCCTCCATGGCACATGATCCCAACTCTGATGTTTGGAGGTCCGTGTTTGCTCTGCTCCTATTTTCTAATGTTTTATGGACTTTTGAGCTTGAATACTGTTCGTTATCTTCATATATTTCATTCTACAAATAACAGTCATAATCAACAACCCTAGTTGTGTTTTTTTATTTATGAAATTTTTTATAGAAATTAGATTTGCCATTGAAACAGAAGAAATATGCAAAAAAAAAAAAAAAAAATTAAACCGCTTAGCATAATTTTCAAACTTGGAAATTTTTTTTCTTGTATCATATCAAAGTCTGTTATGATTAGCAATAAAATAAAATATGTTTTACAAAGTATGTCACTGTTGAAATAAATGTTTATTTAATGTAACGTTCCTACATGTATATATGTTTAACTTCCCTGAACAACGTTGCTGTGACGTATTTTTTTTTGCTAGACCCATAATGTTGACTGCGAAGCTTTGACAATCTTAATGATACTTCCTAGAAATAACAATCACAATCAATCAACAACCTGAGTTGTGCTTTTTGCATATGAAATTTTTAAAGAAATTACATTTGCCATGGAAACAGAAGAAATTTGCAAAAATTAAAAAAAAAAAAAAAAAAAAACCGCTTAGCATAATTTTCATACTTAGAAAAATTGTCTCTTGTATCATATCAAATTGTGTTAAGATTAGCAAAAAAAAAAATGTTGTACAAAGTACGTCGCTGTTGTTATTGTCAACGCGAGAGAGAGAGAGAGAGAGAGAGAGAGAGAGAGAGAGTTTGCTTTTCATTTTGTTATGGGAGGTAGAAAAATTACTGTCACGTGACCACTATTTATTGACATTGCCCTGGTCATAGTTCTTGAAAATGCTAATTTTTGTGTATATTGGAGTCCTGTTTATCTAGACACTTTATCTTCCGAACTAAATTTATGTGGAACGATTCATATTTTAAAAAAACCAAATCAATAAAACATATGACTCAGTTAACCGGACGCTTTATAAATATGAAGAATTTGCTCAGAAAAACAGCACCAAGATTAACAAGGCTCCGCTGAATATATTTCAGGAATAACTGTCATCTCTTCTGCCACTTTCTACCATTAGCTCATGCACTCACCTCTGTAGATGGCTTGTGTATATCAGAGTGCTAAGCACGAAAATTAGTGCGTTTGATTAAATTAATAATAGTTAATGCCCGTGCTTATTTTGTCAAGGAAGATATTTACTAAGTAGATATAAAACTATTAGTTTAATTTAAAATAATTCTTTGAATATCATGCTATTTCAAAATCCTGACGCGAGCCCATTGCAGAGGTGTCTGCTGTATATACACAAGTATGTACATGTACCTTCTTTGATTTTTTGGATGCTCTTCTACATCAGAGGAACGATAAATCTTTCAAAAAAGAAATATCAGTTTTTTTTTCTGGAATAAATATATAATTCACAAAGTTGTCGAAGTAAATATACAATTCGTTCGAAAAATTCCGTTCAAAAAAAGTTTAATATACTTTTTTCTAAGGAAGAACTTATTTGTCAACACAGATGTCTTGTTTTCGAAGGAAAAACAGTAGCACACTTGACGCAGTTGTTAGAGCGTTTGCTCTGGAGTCGCGGAGTAAAGACTTGATCCTTAGGTCGCGGGATCGAATCCCACTGTTGAGACCGGTCCTTCGGATGACCGAGGTCCCGTGTCGCAGTAGCTGCTGGCACAAAAAGATATATCACTGCTCAATGGCACCGAGTGTCGAGATTAGGTCTAAATTTGCAGCCCTCTACTGGCAAGTGGAAGGCGTCTTCATTGAGGGAAAGTTTCTAGTAAGGGACGATAAACAACAAACAAACAAAGGTTTAACTTTCTCCAATATCGCTTGCAGTAGTCAATCAAATACAGATGACACAACGATTGCTTTAGAATACCATAATTATGATACCAACAAACTTCAGGCATTCATTTAACTCGGATGATAAATTGGGGTCAATTTTAGTTGACATATATATGAAAAAGCTTGCAAAAGAAAGTTCCGTAACCAAGTACAATTTGGCCTAAATTAGAACAATTAGATGAATATCAATTGTCATTCCATTTTAAAAAAATATAATAAAAACATTAAACATGTAATTAAATGCAGAAGAACCACATTGTTAAGATTTAATAAAAAAAATATGTCCATGGAATCATATGGATATATCATGTTTAGATAACCATAACATATTTATAATTATAATGATAATACATGTATCATGAATTAAAGACAATAATTTCTCAGTGGATGGACGTGGTTGTATGAAGTTACATGTAATGTAATAAGCACTTTGTAGATTCTCTAATCCAGCTGAGTATATCTGTAACTTACTGTTCATCATCAAAGCTCTTAATTTTGGAAAACGATAATACTTATTATAAGGGTTTTCTGTTTTATTGATATATTTCACTGGAATTGGCATTAAATGCATGTACTCTAAGTGACTACAGGTACATGTAGAAATTTTCATAAGATTTGATGAAGTGATGGAGAGTAATAAAGCTAAAAAATGTCTTTATTGGAGAGCCATGAAAGACAGGTTTAACAAACCGTTGCATTTCCTCGTGCCGATTGTTAAAAGATTTAGATTAGAAATCGATACGGCTCAAAATAAAAAAAATATTAATCTGATACATATGGTTTCCGTAATCATTCATATGAAAAAACAAACAAACAAAAAAACATCAGTTTAATCGTTCTTGGACTCCTGATCTCAATAGGCCATAAAAATTAAAAATTTTGAAAATAAAATATATCGAATTTTCTCAACGTCTTACTTATTCTTTTATTTCTTTCCTGGGAAATAATAAAACGTGTAAAATAAAACTCCCTATAATCTGCTTTCCTTCTGTTTTGAGAGATTTGTTTATGTCTAAAATTTCGATTTAAGAAACTGCTAAAATAAAAGATTTATTAAATAAAAAATATATAATTACAGGAATGCTCTTGAAAATTGATTAAATCATATGCTATATATATTGTAAGGTAATATACGTAACCTCTATCAAAAATACACCCGGATTTTTGAAATTTACAGTTCCTTTTTGAAACTACTTCACCCATGCTCTAGTTTCTTGACGGGTAAAGCTTGATCTACTTTACAGGCATGCGTAATAGTAATATATACAGGCCCGTAGGAAGCAATTTCAGTTTGGGGGGCACAGCCATAAATTTTTAGTTGGGGAGGGGGGCACTATGATAAAATGAAGTGCTCAAAATTCCTTGACAAGCAAAAAAAAAAAAAAAAAAAAAAAAGGTCATCAGACGTTTTTATTGATGGAGCACTAGCATATAGTAGCTATGTTTTCTATAGTGATCTATATATAGGCAAAATTATTTGGGGTACACCCCCCCCCCTTAGGCTTGTTAAACAAAGTTCAATTATTTCGTTTAAATTTAAAACTACCTTTTTAGTCCAGAAATAACAGAGTAGTGTTAATTACTCTCTTTTTGTACAATGAGAGTAGTATATATAACTCTGATTCATAAGTTAAACTTTTGTAATTGCGTTATTAAAATTACAAAATTATTTAGCAATTTAATGGTAAGTACTCTTCAATGTATTTCCTTTATGACATTAATTTTATTTTCAGAATGATTCAATAACAATGACCTTACTTATAAAACAACCTTTCTTTGGGCGGTATTTTAAGTTCAATATTACATATCAATTGTTAGATCATTGTTTTCATATTAATATTGACTACAAATTGTACGATTTCTATTGCTTAAAAATATACTGGTACTGATTCGAGTACTCGTATATCCTTAAGAACGAAGGTTTGCGATATACTAAAATTCAAGATTACACAGAGGGTCCTTTCGTTTTCGAAAGTAAATTGACCATTGAACTATTAAATACATTTTTAATAGTTCAGAATGTCCATGAGGAACTGTGACTAGTTGTTTCAGGAATAATTCACTTCCCTGATTTAAAAAAAAAAGAATTCTATAGCCTAATACAATTTCCTTCAAAAAATATTATTAGAAACT